GAGAAGGTAACGGACGATGAATTTAAACGATTTCGAAATTATTATTTTCTCCGTGTTACAGAATATTTTCAATTTTGTATTTGAATTGATGGAAATTAATTGTTTCTGACACAGATTTGGGACTCAATTTCGTGAAATTAACACAATCGCAGAGAAGAAGACAATCTAGGTAATACTTCGACAATATTGTGGATAGCTACTATGTTTGTAGTCACGATCCATCGAATAGGATCTACGTGCAGTCACATAATCGTCCATCGGATCTATTCTGGGCGCATATTTTGTTTGATGCAAAAACATTGTTCCATATCAGTGTTGTGAACGAATTTGAACTACCTTAAACCATCTTTGGGATTTATTCCGATGATCTGTGACCGGTTCAATAATCTGAACAGATTGTAACCATACTAATCAGAGGATGTAGGCAGCATATGTTACCATTGTTATGTGATTTGTACTGGAATAGGTAGATATAGAGGCTTCGTTTTCGAGCATGAAATGTAAACTATGTGAAAAAAATGTGGCATGCAATTTATTCCATTATGCACACTGACAACAAATGTGACTAATGTAATGGAAGCATGTGTCTGTTGCACCACGCATCCTGACATTGATTCCTGTCATATGTGACCTTCTCATAAATGTGACCGAAATGTAACTACGTGAAACAGGGGTTGCCATCCACGTATGTGACCTCCGTTTCACCTACAGTAAGATAATGTATTTTCGTTTGGATACATAGTAATGCGACTGCTTACCGATTTAGTTAGCAATGCCACATATGAACAGAAGTTCACATATCCTATGAATATCGGGTCAAATATTTAGCGTACCTTCTCATATATCTGGCAGGAATGTAACCACATGAAACAGTGGTTGCCATCCAACATATGTGACCTCCATTTTATTGCATCTTTAGTCTCATATATGACTTGTTCACAAATGTGACCTCCATGTCATTACAGTCATTCATGTTTGAACTATATGCATTGTATTACAATAAATCAGCTACATGAAATTCAATTTTTGTAGGAATGGTGTTCGTGCACGTATGTTTGCTATATGGATCTCAGTCAGCGTTGGCATTGGTAGACTGTGGTTGTGGATACGTAAACCTTGTTGACACAATCATGTCAGAGTTCAGCTTGGATCCTACGAAGGTGGCAGTGTCACTGAAGTATGTCCTGAATGACAATTTGCCTCCAGTCAGGATAAAAAATGATGGTAACGTCCTCTCGTACATTCTGCTGAAGGAAGGCGATCACGAACCTGCTAAATACCCATTAGTCATCTATGTTACCGATGCAGCAATAGAGAAGCCATCTAACACGGCTCCATATATTGCTTACCATAGCAGCGAGCTTCATACATTGCAGGATATGGTAGCTGAAATATGCAAAGCATCGAGTGAACATGTAGGTCACATTTACGACAACGAGGTCACAGTTGTTTCAGTAGCAGAAGCTGGGGAGGTCGAAGAAGGAAGGGTTTTCCGTGATAAGGAGATTTTATAATTGAGCCTATCCTTGTTTGCCATAAGGAATATGTTTGAGTTCATGGTTGAGCGGTCAGACAAGAAAGAATATGTTGTGAAGTGTTCACAGGAAGGATGTAGTTGGATATGCAGATCATCGAAATGGGACAAAACGGATCTATTTAAGATTCGAAAGATTGGTAGTCACACATGTGCATCAAATGTAGTGTCGGGGTCACATAGACAAGTCACAACTGCAGTTGTTTCATCTAGAATCAAGTATAAGTACACATCGTCCAGCACCATATACACACCAAAGGATATATGCAGTGAAATGTTGTATACTTTTGGAGTTTATTTGAACTACACGAAAGCTTGGGGATGCCGTGAACAAACCTTGAAGATGATTAGGGGTGATCCAACCGAATCATTCAGTAGGATACCAAGTTTCTTCTACATGCTCCAACAAAAGAATCCAGGTACGGTCACATATCTAGAGATTGATAGTCACAACAGGTTCAAGTATTGTTTTATGGCACTCGGTGCTTCAATACGTGGGTGGCCACATTGTAGGCCTGTAATTGTAGTCGACGGTACATACTTAAATGGTCATTACGGGGGCACACTCTTCATAGCATGTACACAGGACGCAAACAATAGCATATTTGTTCTTGCTTTTGGTGTTGGGGATAATGAGAACGATAAATCTTAGAGATGGTTTTTGGAAAAACTAAAAGAGGCTTATGGATATAGAGAAGGACTATGTTTTGTATCAGACCGTCATGGCAGTATAAAGAAAGCAATAGAACATGTGTATCTAGGAGCCTGTCATGGTATTTGCTCGTATCATTTGCTACAGAACCTGAAACATTATAAAGGAAAATCAGGAGAAAATATTACACAAGCTTTCAACTCGGCTGTCCGCGCTTACACATTGGAGGAATTTGAATACAACATGCATCGACTACACACAATGAATGAGAATATTACTGGATACCTGGTAATGTATTGCTTTCCAAAAATAGATATCACGCACACTAAATTGGTCACATATGTCATTGTATATGGAACTCATATGTATGATACATGTTTGCAGGCTGAAGTCGGCCCTGAAAAGTGGTCGAGAATTCATATGCCAGTGAACAGATTTTCCACAATGACATCAAACATTGTAGAATCAGTTAATGCAGTCACAAAGGCAGCTAAGAATTACGCCATTGTGTCGTTGCTAGAGTCTTTACGACAAACAGTGCAAACTTGGTTCAGTAAACATAGAGACGAGGCGCATGGAACTTTCACAATGTTGACAAGCAAGTTTGAGAACAGTTTAAGAAAAATGAGTTCAGAATTAAGGAACTTAAGGGTAGGTATCTTATCTTTATCCTGATGTTTGTGTATGTGTACTAAATGAAGATATATGTGACCTGACCATAATTGCATCCGACTTGGAATGAACAGTTGTGATTGTGTTCTAACTATAAATGCATGTGACCTAGTATTAAATCATCTCTCTTGAAATTTGCATTTGCAACGCTGAGTGATTTGGAGTTTGCATCTGTGACTCGAATCCATGATATCCAAAATAAAGTATGACTGCATGTGACCCGATTTGAGCAATGTACACTGAAATTTGCATGTCTGTGACCAGAACTGATCTTTTTGAAACTGACAAAATACAATTGGCACTACAACACTACATTCTTACAGGTATCTGCTTCGAACCAGACAATTTTTTTCGTCATCAGCAATGACAGGTCCACCTTTGTTGTTGATATTGAGGAACGTACATGCACGTGTCGGATGATGCAAGTCGATCTGATGCCCTGTCCACATGCATTGGCTGTAATTGCGCACACAAAAAGGGATCCGTATGCTTACTGTTCATATTATTACACAAAGGAAGCATTTTTAAAAGCTTATGAACATTCAGTATATCCTATTGGAAACCCATACGAATGGACAGTTCCTAACGAAGTACAAAACCAAATTGTGTTACCTCCTGACCAAAAACGAAGTTGTGGAAGACCTGCAGAGAAGAGGAAAAGATCATCTAGGAAAGGCAAACCGAAAGTAAGATGTGGACGGTGTGGTGAACATGGACACAACCGCAGGAGATGCTCAAATTTTCTTCCACTAAACAAGAGTGTTTGATAGAGTAACAACGTTTGAAAAAGACAGCTCATAGTAGGGACCAATACCTGATAAAAACACCAAAGTTTTCATTCTTGAATAAGA